CATGGAGGTTGTTCACATGCTAGATCTTCTATGCTTCATTTTGAATGCCCTTTTATTTTTATGCATGCATTGCGACTCATGAAGTGCTTTCTTTCCCACCTACTTATAAAACCAAAATATATCATGTTACATTGCAAATATTTCTACAATGCAATTTTGATTGGCTACATTTATGAAGTAAACCTACAGGTAACTGCCAAAATAAAGGAAACACTTGAGTAAATGAGGGATACAAAGTATATTGAAAGCAGGTGCTTCCACACAGGTGGTTCCTGAGTTAATTAAGCAACTAACACCCAATCAAGCTTAAGGTCATGTTTAAAAATGCCCAGTTGCCCATTATTTTGGCTACCATGGCTAGTGACTTTGAAAGAGGGATCTCAAAGGAGCATAGGGGGTTTAAATGGAGTCTGTCACCAGATCTCAACCTAATTGAACACTTCTGGGAGATTCTTGAGCAGCGCCTGAGACAGCGTTTTCCACCACCATGAACAAAACACCACATTATGGAATTTCTTGTGGAAGAATGGTGTCGCATCCCTCCGATAGAGTTCCAGAAACTTGTAGAATCTATGCCAAGGAGCATTAAGCTGTTCTGGCGGCTCATGGTGGCCGAAAGCCTTATTAATTGGTGTTTCCTTTATTTTGGCAGTTACCTGTATATATTGTACACAAGATACAATAAAAACATTGCAGTGAATTTGGAAAACTACTAAGAGTAGCGCGCTCAAACTGAGAACTGAGTGCAGGCCTCTCCCACACTAACAGTTTCGCAAAAGGATGCAAACCCTTTGGTGACAGATAGTTGTATTATCTTTAACTCGCTCACGCATGTGTATAACTGAACAACCACAAACCCCCCTGGTCAGTATAATAGCATAAGACCTACAGTTTTTGTGATTGCTCTGTATCTTGTGTACGATACATTTCTCAATTATCACAGTTTTGATCTGCCCATTGTACCATGTTGGTTTACTATGGTTTATTTCTGTAGCCGACATATAAGTATGAATAGAACAAATAATATTTTGATGGAAACAAATGACTTAAAAATGAAATACTGGAACACTTTATAGTGTACTTACAATGCATACTACTCTACCAATATACTTACACTAGTCAAGCATTAGCACGTTTCAGACACAGTATGATATGAAAGTTATTTTAAAATAAACTGTTGTAATATATTCAAATGATCCGTCTTTATTTGTTGTTGAGTTTATAATTGCATGCCTACCAAGGTTTGTATTCCATTGTCTTTTTGGGTACTATATACTGCAGCTCTCCCTTCCTACTTAAAGCATAACCACCACATTATAACCAAACAAAAACAGTCTTCAATTAAAATTATACATTATGCTTGCTATTCTACTGTTTATGGAGTAAAGAACTAGAGAAGCCATGAAATTGAAAACCATTGCGGAATTGTCATGAGGAACCATGGCCAAGCCACACTAGTTTCTCAGTGACAATGCACTAAAATACACAAGTGTCAAATGTCAAGAAATGTGTAGTTTATTGAACTATCCAAACATTGCTAGTAGCCAGTACCACTGGATATATTGTTATAATGCAGGTGTTCACATATTCCATTGCAATACTGTATCCTAAACAAAATTTGGATAAGGACATAAATTACATTACAAAAGTAAACTTTAAATAATCCCTTCAGGGAAACTGTATGTAATGAAAACTACAGAGTGGGAACAACCTTGTTTGCAAAAAGGCAAAGAAAAATCTAGTAAAAACAGGTGAAGTACCATTGAACATTTTGTTAAATTAAATAAGAAAAGAAAAAACACAAAAGTATTGTACAATCCAAATGACTAAATGTCAACTGTTAGTGCACATGCTGACAGTACGAAGGCGTTTTGTGACACAAAAGGTAAACCATTACCTTTCACAACCTCGAGACAGAGTGGTGGAGAGGAAGCGACAGAGATGCAGGGAGAGCTGAAAGAATGCAACACACTAGACGTCCTCCATAGCAATTGATCCACAGTAAATGGAGAGGAAGAAGGTGAGAGGGCACCCTGCCAGTCTAAAACAGCCAGAGTTGACCAGATGGGAGGAACCCCAGTAGAGGACAAAAAGGTATAGAACTAGAATGCATAGCACACCCACCTCTCCTCAGCAATCAGACCTTTGTATAATTAATGTAACTACTTCACTGACCCGTCAAGGACCAGTAATGGCAATCTCAGAATGGGACAGAGGGTTTAATTCTATACATTCTGTTTCTATGTAAAAATAAACAAGTGTGGAAGGGAGATGGCAAAAACAATGCTTGCATAGAGACCATTAAGAATTCCCCCACTGCATAAGTAACAGCAGCAATTTATCAAGTAGTGTCTGACAAGGATGGGAGATCTTCAGGGATCAATTTGAGAGGGGGAATTGTAATCTTCTCCAAAACAACCAATGGCTCTCTAAATCAAAATCATTATCTGGTTTCCCAATGTGGGTCCAAAAACATGATTCATCCTGTGCAGCAAGAAAGTATGTTTGAGTTTATATGCAGTTTTAGTTTATTTTGTCTCACACTGAACACATTTGCGTTGCGGAGTACATGAATCCAAATGTGCATTATTGCAATGCAAGCACAATCATGTTCTTGACTCTTCCAGGAAACCTGCTTTGATGGAATAGTGCCCAGGTAAGTATTCAAAAACAAGAGGGTTTTTGATATGCAACATTGCAATCCACTACCTTGTTGATATGTAACAACCATACAATGAACTCTAGGCAACACTGCAGCTGGGTTTTCTACTACACCGGTTGACAAACTGTCTTTGATAGAGTGGCTGTATAGGCTCATGAGAATAAGACACAGAAGTGCAAACAATATAAAGGTGTGACTTTGCTGGACACGAAAAGCATAGTGAGAGAATAAATGAGCAGCGAGTATGAGTAAAATGGTGAATACAGTATTAATATATACACAAGGGTTGGTGACTATGCACCAGTTGGGCTAGTTTTGTCTTTGATATGTGTTAGATTTTAGCATTCAAGTTGAAGGGGGGGGTTTGGTTGCAGTGAGCACCATAAGGAATACATTCAGCAATGCTCCACGTCTTAAAGTACGAGAACACATTCTGAAACACGTTGTAGGTCGTAACCTGGTGTATGCTCAAGAGAAGAGATGATGTCCCAGTGCATATTGCTATAATGAAGAAAACACAGATGGCTGTATTCAAATGCATACATTCTGCATTAAAAAGATGGTGGCGTATCGAATATGAATACAAATGTGGTATTATTCAGAGTTTGAGGACTACCATAATTGGCAAACATTTACCTCGTGTTGTCTGTCCTTCCACAAAATGTAATCACATTAGGCAAGCAAACAAATGCCAACCAATACAGCATGCATACAGTATGTGTAATCAACATAGTCTAAGGAACACTTTGAAAATAGAAAAGTCATATAATAGAAGTCTTATTTTTTGGTTACCACCACATTCAGTCACTGGCTTTTACCACATTCAAGAAAAGCTAATAATATCAGTTTGGTGTATCTGATTCAAGGTAATATATGCTTTTGGTTCTATTTCTATGTGAAAAGCAGGGATATAAAATAGTCTCTGTCGAAAAGTGCTTTCAGATTTCAATAGAAACAACATTCTCCTGGCAACTGAAACTTGACTCGTCCAATTGTCACTGTACAGAAAAAAGCTTCTCCATTGTAGCCCAGAAATATCTGCAAGTTAAAACCAGACAGATATGACTCATCTCATTTTACATTCATTACAGGACATCAGACCCTCCAATAAGGATATTACATATTCATGGACTCCCATGTGTAAGTGTCCAGCATAGTCAAGAGCAGTTTTTCAAATGTTTTTCCCTATTCTGACACTTGCCTATGCTGGCTATTTCTCTGCATTCAATGCCATCATTTTATATCCTGCATCACATGTTAAGGGTTCCTGATGTCCTTTTAATTCCCTATAGATGCAAAACATTCCCCAATATTCCGTGCCACATGGCATATGCAAAGCTCCCAGCAGCATTGTGATTTCTTTTTATCGAGTTTTGCTTCAGAGTTTCAGGGCTAGCAGTGATGCGTGACCACTTTTGGACCATGCCCCCACTTCAATAAAAATACTAGCATAGAAGCTGAAGGCAAAGAAAATGTATAGTAAGATCTTATATGCTGCCTCCCGAGTGGCGCAGCAGTCTAAGGCACTGCATCGCAGTGCTAGAGGCGTCACTACAGACCTGGGTTCGATCCCGAGCTGTGTTGCAGCCGGCCACGACCGGGAGACCCATGAGATCTTATATTTACATTTTAGTAATTTAGCAGACACTCTTATCCAGAGCAACTTACAGGAGCAATTAGGGTTAAGTGCCTTGCTCAAGGGCACATCGACAGATTTTTCACCTAGTCGGCTCGGGGATTAGAACCAGCGACCTTTCGGTTACTGGCACAACGCTCTTAACCACTAACCTGCCGCCAGGTATATGCTGATACTAGACCTGTGGAGCACTCAGATAACTGAAATTGCACACATCCCTCTGTACCTACACCGTAGACCAGGGGTGTCAAACTCATTCCATGGAGGGCCTAGTTTTTTTTTTTCTTCTTTCAATGAAGACAACCAGGTGAGGGGATTTCTTTACTAGTTAGTGACCTTAATTCATCAATCAAGTACAAGGGAGGAGCGAAACCCGCAGACACTCGGCCCTCCGTGGAATGAATTTGACATGAGCCGTAGACAAATAAAATGTTTCAATACACACAAGCACACGAGAATCACAGAGACATACAAAAAGCAAATTGCTTTCCCTTTTTCAACCGCACTTGAAGTATTTTCCGGTTGCTCTTGAGTGACTTGGATGAGTCGAGCGGTTCCTATCGTTTTTTGGCTGGTCTGGGGTGTGAGTGTTTCCATAATTTCCACTGTGGTCATCTTCCTGTCTTCTGGTTGTGAAGATGTGGTTCTCTTAGGTTGGAGGTTGGAGTATGGAGGTGAGGGGGGGGGGGGGTGGTAGGTCTAGCTGCACGACAGTCGACGGTAAAAATAGATGTAGCCCAAGTCTTTTGGAGGCCTTTCTGACAAGCACACTTTGTGGTCGTTGAAGATCACCCATCTGACGTGGGGGGAAAAATAACATGCGTAACACATTGTGTTAAAACCTCATCTATACATTTAGTTTCGTCTTGATTTCTAAATGCCACATTGTAGAACACTAATTACAAAATGATCTAATCAGTCTCTTAGGACAGTGTTTCCCAATCTGGTCTGTGAAGACGATCAAAGATAATACTTGATTGACTCCAACACTAGCAAACCTGATTCAACACGTCAACTATGATCAAGCCCTTGATTAGTTGAATCAGGAGTGCTAGTGTTGGAATAGATCAAATATTATGTGCAGTGCAACAGCTGGTGGAAACAGTTTGTCTATATCATTCATTTTTAATCCTTCATTATGAAAGGGGATTGTGGTTTAATCATCTAGCAGAGATAAATGTAGAGTATGTAAATTGTGACTGACTTACCTTCCTTCCTTTTTGATGTGGCATACATAATGACCAGACATCGTGGACGCTCCCATGTGGCTGATGAAAGCAAAAAGCTCGTAACCTGCAAAACAGGAAGTCAAACCAATCGTTACACAAAACTACAACTCCCTTGTGAACAGAACAGATGTATTTTGCCTACAGTATACCCATGAGAACAAGCTAGTAAAACCGGCTCATAACTATAACTTTCAGCAACTATCTCATCCTTATCTGATCCTATTCCTAGTGTTATGAGATGTCTTTCTTACCTTGAAAGCATGCAGGTTGTAGTTGGAGAGACTGTGGTCCATGATTTGTATTTCTGAGTTCAAAATCAGGGCTGAGACCCTGAATAGCATGAGTCTCCTCAAACATGAAATCGTAAACCAAACATGTAACACAAAACTGTGTTGCCTTCCTTTTACAGGATTGTGTCAGAATGGAAGCGGAAGAGTAGCCCTTCACAATTGGTGAAAGGCTGGTTTTGATCCAAATGAACCTGCAAACAGCAGGTGTTGCATCATATGGGTGCAGCAAGCAGTGAGCTTTATATTCAAAGCAGCTATATACTTTTTTATACAGCTCCTGTACCACATGTGTATGTGTGTAATTCTTCTCCTTTGATCCTTTCTGTCTTTATCGTTTTGCTCATAATAGTTTGGTTAGGACTGGAGAGGGTGTAGCTGATTCTAGATCAGTGTCTCTAGATCGTAATGGTTATGGTTAGGACTGGGGAGGATGGAACTGACCCTAGATCAGTCTTAGAGGTCATGCAGAGTCACTCACGTCCGGGTCCGTCCTTGATCCGGGGGCCTGAGGCGTCCTGGTCTGGGGGCAGTGTGGAGTTGCTGTGCGTGTTGGCATTGGAGAAAGCGTTGTCATTGGGCTCCGTGGTGTCGGCCATGTCAGACAGGGCGTCGCTAGTCTCCTCCTCCTCCTCCCTCTCCGTGTGGGTGAAGATCCAGTCCAGCGCCCGCTCCAGGTTGTTGTTCTGAAACAACGAATGTTGGTGACATGTCATTTCACAGACCTATTTCAGCGTTTTTTTTGCTGACAGTACTTTCTGGTACTGGTATTTTTTTCTCTCACACATATTAAACTACCTGCTTGTTTCAACGAATCTGAAAGAACCAAAAAGTCATAATTGGTAGGCTAAATTGCCATGTAATTACCATTTTAATTTACTGTATCTGATTATCAGTGACCTTGTGTTATGAAGATACAGTAGAATATGCTTCCTCTCTCCCCTAAGTCTTATCTCAAATTCAGAGGTCTCAGAAGATGGACAATTGTGACTGGCATGCTTCACGAGAATGTAACAGGATTGACAACATCAAAATCTAAATGTAACGGGATTGACAAGATCAAAATCAAGAGAATTGATTTTGTTATTGTGAACTATGTACATTTTCTTGAAGAATGAATAATCCAACTCCGCTCTCATTCTCCATGTGTGGTCAATTCCCTCATTTAGCCTCAGCATTTAATCCAAAATAGAGGCGTGATTCATTCACCGCCGATGCCAGCGCCGAGAGCACATGGGGGGAATAATCTGATGCTGCCTGCTTTTTCTGGCCATGCCCAGTCAGACAGACAGGCCAGTGAAACTGGGCTATTTTAGAAGACCCTGGAGACCCTCTGCTGTTTCACACTCCTACTCAACTCACGAGGACCCTGGGATTTTTTATGAGAAAAAAAATGGATGGCAAGGGGTTTGAAGATGTTAGGAATGGTAAACAAGGAAATCAGAGGGTCTGTTTTCGTAGAGAACTTGATCTATTTTATGCTGACAGGGCAGGTGACTGCTGACAAAGAGAAAAAGGGACCATCTTAAAATAGCAGCCACTATAATGGAATTAAACTCTTATACTGTATATCGTGGTGTTATACAATTCATAACGTAATTGAATGAATTAGTTGTTCATTTGAGGAACACACAAACAAATGCATAAAAATGACTGCGTTATAGTTGCACATATGACACAACGATCTGACTCATAGAACTGAAAAGCTGAATGAGGCTTGCTATGCACCATGACGGGCCCAATGCTGGGACTATTTGTAAACAGCATGTAGAACAGGGATCTCGAGCAACCAAGGACATGAAGGGGTTATTAAAACTGCAATATATCAAGTAAACAAGTAGGCCAGCCAAGTTGTTTATAGCTGAGAGGGCATGATTCTCCAGCACGGTTCGGCACTATAGAAAGCCACTCCCCATCATTCTTACATCAATGGCACAAATATAAATAGCAAGCCAAAAGTCTGACAGAGAAATAGAACATATTGGTTAAACTTTTTGGGAGATATTACCCTACTTAAAACATGATAAAAGTCTCCCTTTCCATCTTTGCAAGGTTTTAGCTATAGAACAGGCATTGGATAGATGGTTTATTTTCCATATTCCAGAACATAGTACATACATCTCTACAATAATTAAAATCTGAAAAAGTCAAATTAAAAACTACCGCCTACTGAATGCTTCCTAGGCCAGGACAATATTATTTTTGTGTTGTTTCACCAGAGTGAGTGTGTGAGCAGCGGGAGAGAAAGAGAGCCACTGACCGTGGCTTTGAGGGCCTGGACGGTGTGGCGGCGGGGGAAGCCCATGGAGGTGAGGATGGCGATGCTCTCCTCTGGAGGCTGGTTGTCCAGGGGGGTGGCAGCCAGGCCCGGGCTGGCCACGGAGGGGCCGGGCTCCATGAAGTTTGGCAGTGCCAGGGGCTCAGCAAAGTCTGGAAGAGAGGAAAGAAGGAGAAAGCTCTACTATAAACATGGTTCATAAATCAGTAATCGCCCATTCAAACAAGGGTCAAATCAGGAAGAGCACACTGTAAAACAAGGATGTGTTCCTAAGGCCTCATCAGCGCCTGGTTATTTGTTGGTATCTTAGGTCATAGTCATTAGTTACCCAATTAATATAGGTCATTGTTAGTACAAGTATGGCATGTTCAGCTTAAGAGAGCCTGTTTGTGTCGGTCTGCCTATTTGTCCTTGAATCTCTTGGTGAGCTGTAAAGGAAGGGCTCGCTCACTGGGTTGTGTTTGTGAGAGAAAGAAATCCTCTTCATTAGTTATTAGTAACTTTTCCAACAATATCACTGTATGCAGAAGTGACTATGATATTGTTTAAGACAAACTTATAAATCCACTTCGAAAAATATAACAAAGTATGTACAGGGTACAGAAATTAAAAGGGGTAGTTCACAATTTTACAACTAGATTTTAGATGGTTCCTCACCCTGAAGGTAGTCTATGGGCCAAGAGAAACTGTAATCCAGGGTTCAGTTTTCTTTAAACAGACAATACAAACTTCAGCTAAACTTAGCCACCACAAGCTAACAATCAATTGAAATGATCGGGGCATGTAAGCATGTTTGAAAACAATTATGTAGTGGCTGTTTAAGGAGAACTGAACCATGGTCTACAGTTTCTCCTGGCCCATAGACTACTTTCAGGGTGAATAACCATCTAACATCAAGTTGTAAAATAGTGAACTACTCCTTTAATACTGAGTTTATTAAACAACTGCAATAATAAAGCTGCATTTCAGGGAGAGTGCAAAGAGGCTGCCTGATGCCTCATGCATATTAAAAAGCCGAGATATGACTTCTTCACTGCAATTCCACACAAGCAATTAAGAATTTAGGAGGGCTAAAACAAAAACAGATGGCAGTTTTAAAAAGTTACTAAGGCAATACAACACAGTCTATACAAGACATAATTTCTCCATACATTTTGAATACCCCCGTTTTAACCGATTGGGCCTTTATTGACACAGTTGTTACACACCTGTACAATTTGACTGTGTGTGCTAGTGTTAAACCACATACAATCAGGTCCAAAATGATGTATACAATAAATACTGAGCTATACTGTATGCAAAAAAGGGGAAATTATATTATACTAATACAATTGCTCAGACAAAGAGATTACTTAACAAGTAATACTTCTTTCTTGATGCAATTAAAGCTGGGAAAGTCCGGGAAAACTCCAGGGCTGGATGGCATACCAGTTCAGGTATACCAACCCTTTTTTGATGTACTCCGAGGACAGTTTTTAGCATGTTTTAACCCCTCCTATAAAAATTGTAGATGATCAGATACTCAACAAGAAGGTCTGATTTCATTATTACTGAAACAGGACACAAGTGGTAAATATAGAGATCCAGTCCATTGAAAACATTTGAGGCCCCTCACATGTCAGTGTTGTGATGCAAAAAATTCTAGCAAAATGCATAGCGCATAGAATAAAAAAAGGTATTGTTGGATATTATTCATCCTAATCAGACATGTTTTTTACATGGACGATACATTGGAGATAATATAAGACAAGTACTGGAAACAATAGAACACTATGACAAATCTGGGAAACCAGGCCTGGTATTTATTGCTGACTTTGAAAAGGCTTTTGATAAAGTACAACTGGAATTTATATATAAATGCCTGGAATATTTCAATTTTTTGAGAATCTCTTATACAGTGGGTTAAAGTTATGTATAGTAACCCTAGGTGTAAAACTGTAAATAATGTCTACTTCTCAGAAAGTATTAAACTGTCAAGAGGAGTAAAACAAGGCTCCCCACTATCGACATATTTATTATGGCCATCGAAATGTTAGCTATTAAAATCAGATCCAACAATAATATCAAGGGGCTAGAAATCCAGGGCTTAAAAACAAAGGTGTCATTGTACGCTGAGGATTCATGTTTTATTTTTAATCTACAATTGTCACAACTTCCACCGAGGCTGCCTCCCCTCCTTGTTCGGGCAGGCTTCGGCGTTTGTCGTCATCGGCTTGCTAACCACTGCCGCTCCCATTATCATCACTCCACTTGTCTTGTCTTGTTAATCACACACACCTGGTTCTCCTTGTCATTTATCGCCCTCCAGGTTCCCTTGGAGAGTTCATCAATGAGCTTGACGCCTTGATAAGTTCCTTTCCTGAGGATGGTTCACCCCTCATAGTTCTGGGTGACTTCAACCTCCCTATGTCTATCTTTGACTAATTTCTCTCTGCCTCCTTCTTTCCACTCCTCTCCTCTTTTGACCTCACCCTCTCACCGTCCCCTCCTACTCACAAGGCAGGCAATACGCTTGACCTCATCTTTACTAGATGCTGTTCTTCTACTAATCTCACTGCAACTCCCCTCCATGTCTACGACCACTACTTTGTATCCTTTTCTCTCTCGCTCTCCTCCAACACTACTCACTCTGCCCCTACTCAGATTGTAATGCGCCGTCGCAACCTTCGCTCTCTCTCTCCCACTACTCTCTCCTCTTCCATCCTATCATCTCTTCCCTCTGCTCAATCCTTCTCCCTCCAATCTCCTGATTCTGCATCCTTTGACTCTCTATGTCCCCTATCCTCCCGGCCGGCTCGGTCCTCCCCTCCTGCTCCGTGGCTTGATGACTCATTGCGAGCTCACAGAACAGGGCTCCGGGCAGCCGAGCGGAAATGGAGGAAAACTAGACTCCCTGCGGACTTGGCATCTTTTCACTCCCTCCTCTTTACATTTTCTTTATCTGTTTCTGCTGCTAAAGCCACTTTCTACCACTCTAAATTCCAAGCATCTGCCTCTAACTCTAGGAAGCTCTTTGCCACCTTCTCCTCCCTGCTGAATCCTAACCCCCCCCCCCCCCCCCCCCCCCCCCCCCCCCCCCCACCCCCCCACCCTCCTCCTCCCTCTCTGTGGATGACTTCGTCAACCATTTTGAAAAGAAGGTTGACGACATCCGATCCTCGTTTGTTAAGTCAAATGACACTGCTGGTCCTGCTCACACTGCCCTACCCTATGCTTTGACTTCTTTCTCCCCTCTCTCTCCAGATAAAATCTTGCGACTTGTGACAGCCGGCCGCCCAACAACCTGCCCGCTTGACCCTAACCCCTCCTCTCTTCTCCAGACCATCTCCGGTGACCTTCTCCCTTACCTCACCTCGCTCATCAACTCATCCTTGACCATGTCCCTTCCGTCTTCAAGAGAGCGAGAGTTGCACCCCTTCTCAAAAAACCAACACTCGATCCCTCTGATGTCAACAACTACAGACCAGTATCCCTTCTTTCTTTTCTCTCCAAAACTCTTGAGCGTGCCATCTTTAGCCAACTCTCTTGCTATCTCTCTCAGAATGACCTTCTTGATCCAAACCAGTCAGGTTTCAAGACTGGTCATTCAACTGAGACTGCTCTTCTCTGTGTCACGGAGGCTCTCCGCACTGCTAAAGCTAACTCTCTCTCCTCTGCTCTTGTCCTTCTAGACCTGTCTGCTGCCTTTGATACTGTGAACAATCAGATCCTCCTCTCCACCCTCTCCGAGCTGGGCATCTCCGGCGCGGCTCACTCTTGGATTGCGTCCTACCTGACAGGTCGCTCCTACCAGGTGGCGTGGCGAGAATCTGTCTCCGCACCACGTGCTCTCACCACTGGTGTCCCCCAGGGCTCAGTTCTAGGCCCTCTCCTATTCTCGCTATACACCAAGTCACTTGGCTCTGTCATATCCTCACATGGCCTCTCCTATCATTGCTACGCAGACGACACACAACTAATCTTCTCCTTTCCCCCTTCTGATAACCAGGTGGCGAATCGCATCTCTGCATGTCTGGCAGACATATCAGTGTGGATGACGGATCACCACCTCAAGCTGAATCTCGGCAAGACGGAGCTGCTCTTCCTCCCGGGGAAGGACTGCCCGTTCCATGATCTCGCCATCACGGTTGACAACTCCGTTGTGTCCTCCTCCCAGAGTGCGAAGAGCCTTGGCGTGACCCTGGACAACACCCTGTTGTTCTCCGCTAACATCAAGGCGGTGACCCGACCCTGTAGGTTCATGCTCTACAACATTCGGAGAGTACGACCCTGCCTTACATAGGAAGCGGCACAGATCCTAATCCAGGCACTTGTCATCTCCCGTCTGGAATACTGCAACTCGCTGTTGGCTGGGCTCCCTGCCTGTGCCATTAAACCCCTACAACTCATCCAGAATGCCGCAGCCCGTCTGGTGTTCAACCTTCCCAAGTTCTCTCACGTCACCCCGCTCCTCCGCACACTCCACTGGCTTCCAGTTGAAGCTCGCATCTGCTACAAGACCATGGTGCTTGCCTACGGACCTGTGAGGGGAACGGCACCTCCGTACCTTCAGGCTCTGATCAGTCCCTACACCCAAACGAGGGAATTGCGTTCATCCACCTCTGGCCTGCTGGCCCCCCTACCTCTGCGGAAGCACAGTTCCCGCTCAGCCCAGTCAAAACTGTTCGCTGCTCTGGCACCCCAATGGTGGAACAAGCTCCCTCACGACGCCAGGACAGCGGAGTCACTCACCACCTTCCGGAGACACTTGAAACCGCACCTCTTTAAGGAATACCTGGGATAGGATAAAGTAATCCTTCGACCCCCCCCCCCTTACCCCACCCCCCAAAAAAATAAAATAATAATAATACATATTGTAAAGTGGTTCTCCCACTGGCTTGTATCCTATGCTTGTATATCGTTTGGAGTATTATCCATACCGTGATTGCCAGGGTAGAGAGTTTCCCCTGTGCCTATGTTTGTATGTTGCTATCCAGCGCAACTGTGACAAAGGAATAAACGCTGTATTCGGTGATTTACCCTCCTGCACCTGACTCCTTCTATCACACTCCTCACAACAATTTTGATCCCACCACAGCCTCAGGGGATCTAGATAATTGTTCTAATCTCTCTGGATTATATATTGGATCACAAAAAAAATACAACTTTTACATTACCGTGTAGTTTACCAATAAAATGATCTGACAGTGAAGTGGACATACTCGGTATTAATAACCTGAAAGAAAGAAATGATCTCACTACAATACATTTTTATAGAAAGTTAGCAAAAATAGATAAGATCTTGGAAAGGAAAATACCTGTCTATTTGTGGAAAAATCCCCCTGATTAACTCTTTATCCCAGTTTACCTATTTGCTTAAGGCCTACACCTAGCGACTTGTTTTTTAAATTATGTGAGCAAAAAAATATTCAACATGGGGTGAGACAAAATTAAACTGACCTATTTATATAATGAATATTAATTCAGAGGGCAGAAACTTAAATATTAAAGCATTAGACTTCTCACTAAAGGCTTCAGTCATACAAAAAAGCTATAATTAAAAACCGAACTGGTTCTCTAGCAGATTAGTAAGAATGTCTCACCCCATGTTTAAGAATGGCCTTTTTCCCTTTATTCAGATTACAACCTCTCACTTAAGGTTATTTGAAAAAGAAATCTCTATTTTTAAAACAAGCCATAGAAAGTTGGTTGCAATTTCAGTTTAATCCACCAGAAAAGACAGAACAAATATTATGGTTAAACTCAAATATACAAATTGATTAAAAAAAATATATATATTTTTTGGAGAAAATGCTTTAAAAATATAATAAATAGGGCTGGTGGAGTTATGTCACACATGCAGCTAACAAAAAATATATGGAAATGTCTGCTCTACTTAAAATGACAAGTGGAATAAATAATAATTCTCAAAAAGATGGGGATCAAAGTTATTGGCACCACTGTTTTTACTACCTTTCAATGCCTCACCTTGCGAGGATAATGGCACAGAGCCTTTTTCTAAAATGTTTTATGAGATTGGGAGGGATCTTAGACCATTCCTCCATACATAATCTTTACAGATCCTTGATATCCTTCGTCTGCGCTTATGGACTGTCCTCTTCAATTCAAACCACGTTTTCAATTGGTCCGGAGACAGATGGCCATTGCAAAATGTTGATTTTGTGGTCAATTAACAATTTCTTTGTGGATTTTGATGTGTGCTCTAGTTTATTATCTTGCTGGAAGATCTACTTGCGGCCAAGTTTCAGCCTCCTGGCAGAGGCAACCAGGTTTTTGTCCTGGTACTGGGTTCATGATGCCGTTAACATTAACATGGGCACCAGGACCAGTGGAAGCAAAATAGCCCCATAACATCAAAGATCCTGTGGAATGTTGTCCCACTCCTCTTCAATGGCTGTGTGAAGTTGCTGCATATTGTCGGGAATTGGAACACAGTCGTACACGTCGATCCAGAGCATCCCAAACATGCTCAATGGGTGACATGTCTGGTGAGTATGCAGGCCATGGAAGAAATGGGACATTTTCAGCTTCCAGAAATTGTGTACAGATCCTTGCGACATGGGGCCGTGCATTATCATGCTGAAACATGAGGTGATGGAGGTGGATGAAGGGCACGACAATGGGCCTCAGGATCTCGTCACGGTATCTCTGTGCATTCAAATGCCATCGATAAAATGCAATTGTGTTCGTTGTCCGTAACTTATGCCTGCCTATACCATAACCCCACCACCACCATGGGGCATTCTGTTCACAACATTGACATCAGCAAACCGTTCGCCCACACGACGCCATACACGTGGTCTGCGGGTTGTGAGGCCGGTTGAACTTGCTGTCAAATTCTCTAAAACGACGTTGGAGGCGGCTTATGGTAGAGAAATGAACATAACATTATCTGGCAACAGCACTGGTGGACAGTCCTGCAGTCAGCATGGCAACTGCACGCTCCCTCAAAACTTCAGACATCTGTGGCATTGTGTTGTGTGACAAAACTGCACATTTTAGAGTGGACTTGTATTGTCCCCAGCACAAGGTGCACCTGTGTAATGATCATACTGTTTAATCAGCTTCTTGATATGGCACACCTGTCAGGTGGATGGATTATCTTGGCAAATGAGAAATGCTCACCAACAGGGATGTAAACAAAATTGTGCCCAAAATTTGAGAGAAATAAGCTTTGGAACATTTCTGGGATATTTTATTTCAGCTCATGAAACATGGGACTAACACTTTACATTCCACAGGCCACAATCAACAGCCAAATGAAATCTATGTGAAGGAGATGTGTCGCGCTACGAGGCAAATGGTGACAGCAGATACTGACTGGTTTTCTGATCCAACCTTTTTTTTTATGGTATCTGTGACCAACAGATGCATATCTGTATTCCCAGTCATGTGAAATCCATATATTAAGGGCTAATGAATTTATTTAAATTGACTGATTTCCTTATAAGAACTGTAACTCAGTAAAATCTTTGAAATTGTTGCATGTTGCATTTATATTTTTGTTCAGTGCATTTTATAAAAAGGTTTGTCTAGGTTGAAATTTGTGTACCATGATGGCATAATCCTGTGGTTGAAATTTCACCCTCAAAACAACAATTTACGTTGACGTAAACTGTGGTTTTGAGGGTGGAATTTCAACCACAGGATTATGTCATCATGGTAACGAATTTTCAACATAGACAAACCTTGTATAAAATGTTGAATTTGTACCTTTGAAACAACGTCAGATCCATTATCAGGAAAAATTATAGTCTGGGCAGCACCTCCTACTGGAGAGTTGATCTATCTACAGCTATTCATTTGCTCTCCCATTCAGGGTTTTAACCAAGCCCTGCACAATGATAACACATTAAGTTGTTGTATAAATACAAAATATCTGACATTGTATTCTCATTTGAACATTTAAAATGGTTGAAAGCGCATTGATAACACATTTAGATGACCAAAAAAATTATTATAATCTAATTTCCAGTGGAATTTGGTTGTGCTTTTTAAGATTGTTGAAACCATAGTGATAACACATTGGGAATTCCAACTTCTGGGTGACTTTTTGAGTGGGTGAATAAAGGTTGAAATATTACCCACATTTCCACCTTGAGATGACGTGGTGTGCCCAGTGGGTGGGAATTAATTGGCGCAATGGCATGAGCAAGGGAGAAACTATTCACACAAAAATGTGTTATTAGGAAGTAAATGTGAAGATTTTAATTGAAGTAATGGCTTAAGTAATGGAAAAATGGCTTTTCAAACCTCTTTTTCAACACTTTCCAAAACAAATGGTGTGTAAATAAGTATTCTTCATGCACACTGGGTTATTTCTCAAGAGTGGGAGGAAGACCTTTTGGTCCAGTGTTGAATATACCAATTATTATGGAGAGTATATTAATTGTTTTAATCTCTGTCAGTGTTCTTTCAGAAATCAAAGTATTATCTCCCCTTTAGGACTTCACAGGCTAACAGTCAAATAATCATAAAATATGCTTTCATGATCAACAGTAAGTATACCTGGCAGAGTAGTAATGGGCAAGAATGGAAGGCTTTTTGGGCGTTTTGTCTCTTTATTGCTTATACTGGATAGTGCAGGCCTGGGGTGGGCCAATAATTCACTACATGCTGAACAAGGAGAAGAACGAGAGCGTGAAGGAAGTGACATCAAATGTGGTGTGATGCAGGTCAAACAGTGCTCGAGGAGTGTGTGTTGGTAAACAAAGGGTTATACCCTACTGTTGACTATCACCAAAGCTTTCATTACTGTTGCCTACTATGAGTGAAAATGGACACTCTTCCAACTGTCTGCATGTCAAGATTCCCAAACTTGTGTCCTTTTGTCTTGTGACCTATTCATTGTTCTTTTAAGCTAGCTGAATACAATTTGTGTTAGCATGCTAACACACAAAAGCTAAGCGTTTTAGTAATGGACATTAAAACAATTATTTACATTGCTTGCATAAGAAACATGCAGTTATAGCATGTAATTATGAATTACCCATTGAGATTTATGCAAATATATCAGTCCTTTGACACACAAACACATACTCTCAGAGGCAGCTGGGGACTCTGGCACACTGGCATGTCTCCTGCTGTGACGCACATGTCGCTTCAGTTATGTTTTAGAGCATGCACTGCCCACCCCCACAAGTGCCCAGAAGAGGCTGAGGAATCAGGCTTGAATAACATGAATGTGGCTCTTACCAGGCTCCTCCATGTGGGCTATGATCCAGTTAAAGGCCATCTCGGGGCCCATGTTCCCCGTGTAGTAGACGGCCTTCCGACAGGCCTCCAGAGGGAAGCCCATCTCCGCCAGCTGCATCGCCGCCGACTCGTCTATTTCTGGGGCTGAGGACAAGCAAAAAACAAACAATAAACATCAGTGCCACCCACCCTCTTTACAAACCTCACAGGTCCTAAGGGTGGTTTTGTTTTCTCTTTGGGCTTCATTAAAGAGGGACTGGAGAGGAACCGCCCGTATCTTACCCAGTGCTTACTAATAAAAAAACAGGCTAATAACAAATAACCTGCCCCCAAAAAGGTTTTTGTAAGTAGGCAAAGTTACGGGGCGGCTGCAGCAGAATTATTTTCACCACATTTGTCACAACTGCAAAACTTTGAATAACAGTTGTTCCATAGTGGTAAATCTTTGTAATGGGTTAGGTATATACAGTGGGGGAAAAAAGTATTTAGTCAGCCACCAATTGTGCAAGTTCTCCCACTTAAAAAGATGAGAGAGGCCTGTAATTTTCATCATAGGTACACGTCAACTATGACAGACAAAATGAGAAAAAATAATCCAGAAAATCACATTGTGGGATTTTTAATGAATTTATTTGCAAATTATGGTGGAAAATAAGTATTTGGTCAATAACAAAAGTTTCGCAATACTTTGTTATATACCCTTTGTTGGCAATGACACAGGTCAAACGTTTTCTGTAAGTCTTCACAAGGTTTTCACACACTGTTGCTGGTATTTTGGCCCATTCCTCCATGCAGATCTCCTCTAGAGCAGTGATGTTTTGGGGCTGTCGCTGGGCAACACGGACTTTCAACTCCCTCCAAAGATTTTCTATGGGGTTGAGATCTGGAGACTGGCTAGGCCACTCCAGGACCTTGAAATGCTTCTTACGAAGCCACTCCTTCGTTGCCCGGGCGGTGTGTTTGGGATCATTGTCATGCTGAAAGACCCAGCCACGTTTCATCTTCAATGCCCTTGCTGATGGAAGGAGGTTTTCACTCAAAATCTCACGATACATGGCCCCATTCATTCTTTCCTTTACACGGATCAGTCGTCCTGGTCCCTTTGCAGAAAAACAGCCCCAAAGCATGATGTTTCCACCCCCATGCTTCACAGTAGGTATGGTGTTCTTTGGATGCAACTCATTATTCTTTGTCCTCCAAACACGACGAGTTGAGTTTTTACCAAAAGGTTCTATTTTGGTTTCATCTGACCATATGACATTCTCCCAATCCTCTTCTGGATCATCCAAATGCACTCTAGCAAACTATGATGAAAATTACAGGCCTCTCTCATCTTTTTAAGTGGGAGAACTTGCACAATTGGTGGCTGACTAAATACTTTTTTCCCCCACTGTATAGGGGAAGGATAGGAGAAATTGAATACTTACAATCTGAGGAGTTCATCGAGTTGTCTGAAAAGTAAAGAGAAGTGATTATTTCCAAGGACCAACATAAACATGTTTTTTTGACTAGTTAAATCTAAAAGTGTAGCTACAGCATGAATATAATTCATCTGAATCTATCAGATTAATTCATTCAATATGTGGTTAGTAAAAAAAGTCTAACATGGACCTAAACAGCATCCTTACCATTCAAGTCACACTTCAGTTTTAATTACAAATGTTGTTCCACTAAAAACAAGTATTGGCGACTGTTATGGCTCAAGGTGGTAAACTTAATTGTAATGTTTTTCTATAAAAAAACTCAGGTACCATATGCCAAATCAATACTAAATCCGTAAAGATAATTGATGGGAAATGATGCAGTTCAAGGAGCAAAAAGACTGCTTAAAATTCAGAAATCAATCAGAATTCCTCAGGCGTTGTCCGATGCAGAAATGTAATTAATTGCTGTAGTGATTCAGGTCAAGGGACAATGGGCTGGTGTTTAATTTAAGATTTATGGAGCTAATCTGACAAATGATGTAAAATCAAAAATGCATTATAAACATTGAGAACTAAGATTTATATTACTGTATGTAGGTGTGACGGTCAACTGTACAATTTACATTTTAGTCATTTAGCAGACACTCTTATCCAGAGCAACTTACAGTTAGTGAGTGCATACATTTATTTCCATACTGGCCCCCCTTGGGAATCGAACCCACAACCCTGGTGTTGCAAGCGCCATGCTCTACCAACTGAGCTACGTAGGTGTGTACCAGTAATTTAATTATGAGAGAAAACAAATGGCCAACTGCTTTGTTACTTTTTCAGGAACAGTCTATAAGAGGAGAACTCATACAACTTTATTAAATCACTTTTAAAACACCTTTAGGACGTCTAAATCTGGCAAATTTCGGGGTGAGTTTTGTTTTGTCCGCTTAGCACTTACCCATAAAGCCTCATTTTAGGAAGGGGGAACACGATAATTCTGTTATATTCGTCTGCTAAAATAAAATAGTTGAGTTTCAGTCCGAGTTGTAGTTTAACAAAGTTGAAGCAGCTTCTACAAGACAGCCATTGCGTCAATGGGGCACTACAGGGTACCAGGACAAGCTCTATTGCTTGCCTTGAGCACATGTCAAGTGTTTTTGGGTCTGTACAGAACACGATGTGCCTGGTAGCTGCTAAACTATTAAAGAGGTCCACAGACAGACACACTGTAGACGCACTACAGACGCACTGAAGGAAGAACAGAGATTACGGAAATACTGAGCATGTAAACTAGAAACAGTCCCACTTCTTTGTTGCTCAGCCTTAGGCCCAAAAAGTGACTCGTTAGGCGTTCTAGATAATAGCTTGGCCCAAACGGCAGCTTTGCTAGGCACTTCCAACAACCCCTAGTCATTGGAAGTCAAACTCCTCCCAGCTGTGGGTAGAGAGGGAAAATAAGATTGGTAAAGGTTTGTCAGTATCTTCGTCCTAAAGCAGCCCTTCTTACCTCTGGTGTCTTCAGGGAGGACGATGGGGGGGGTGAGGTCTGGGAGCTCTTGTTCTCCCGCCTGCAGTCCTGTTCCCCGGAGTCGAGACAGGTCCAGGAAGTCTGGGATGTCTATGGACAGATCTGTGGAAAAACAGGTCAGGGTCATGTTCAGCTCGAAATGGAGAAATGGCTCCAAAATTGAGTGAAATAGGGGAATACAATTGGAACTTGTCCAATAAGAAACATGTTTCAAACATGTTTCCCTGTTGCGGAACGTTTTGCTACGATATGCCCTAATGAAAGCAACCCAGAGTTTTGAGAGAGCATGTGAAAGAGAACAGAGGGGACTTGGGCATGGTCATTCAAGCAGATAACTGAATGACTACACTCACATTCACCACTAGAGCTACAGTACAAAATACAAGATGTACAGTATAAGATGTAGCTACCATATCAGCATGAGAGAATATTGAATATAGCTGTAACACCTTTTTTTGGTCCATATGAGAAAAACCAGAACATGCAAAAATAAGTCTCTCAATTGCAAGATGCAGGATTAACCTCATTTGAACTGCATCTCTTAAAAATAGTTAACCTTCCTCAATCCCTAGCATATTTTGGGGGAAAAGTATGGTCGATGCAACTCCAGTGCAGCATAAAAAATGTATAGTACTTAAAAACACAGGTAGAGCAAGAGCTTAGATAACAGATTTTATTCTCAGGGCAGTGTCTACTAGCCTGGATCTTAACAGAATTGTTCTGTTTCACTTCATGAAATCAGTCTTCAGTTTGGATGCAGGCTATATGTGTGCATTCGGAAAGTATTCAGAACCCTTGACTTCTTCCACATTTTGTTACGTTACAGCCTTATTCTAAAATGTATAAAAAAATTATAATAATCCTCATCAACCTACACACAATACCCCATAATTACAAAGCGAAAACAGAAATACCTTATTTACATAAGTATTCAGACCCTTTGCTATGAGACTCGAAATTGAGCTCAGGTGCATCCTGTTTCCATTGATCATCCTTGGGATGTTTCTACAACTTGATTGGAGTCCACCTCTGGTAAATTCAATTGATTGGACATGATTTGGAAAGGCACACACCTGTCTATATAAAGGTCCCACAGTTGACAGTACATGTAAGAGCAAAAACCAAGCCATGATGTTGAAGGAATTGTTCGTAGAGCTCCGAGGCAGGATTGTTTCGAGGCACAGATCTGGGGAAGGGTACCAAAAAATGTCTGCAGCGTTGAAGGTCTCCAAGAACAGAGTGGCCTCCATTATTCTTGGAACCACCAAGACTCATCTTAGAGCTAGCCGCCCGGCCAAACTGAGCAATCGGGGGAGAGAAGGGCCTTGGTCAGGGAGGTGACCAAGAACCCGATGGTCACTCTGACAGAGCTCCAGAGTTCCTCTGTGGAGATGGGAGAACCTTCCAGAAGGACAACCATCTCTGCAGCACTCCACCAATCAGGCCTTTATGGTAGAGTGGCCAGACAGAAGCCACTCCTCAGTAAAAGGCACATGACAGCCCGCTTGGAGTTTGCCAAAAGGCACCTAAAGGACTCTCAGACCATGAGAAACAACATTCTCTGGTCTGATGAAACCGAGATTGAACTCTTTGGCCTGAATGCCAAGCGTCACATCTGGAGGAAACCTGGCACCATCCCTACGGTGAAGCATCATGCTGTGGGGATGTTTTTCAGCGGCAGGGACTGGGAGACTAGTCAGAATCGAGGGAAAGATTAACGGAGCAAAGTACAGAGAAATCCTTGATGAAAACCTGCTCCAGAGTGCTCAGGACCTCAGACTGTGGCGAAGGTTCACCTTCCAACAGGACAACGACCCTAAGCACACAGCCAAGACAAAGCAGGAGTGTCTTCGGGACAAGTCTCTGAATGTCCTCGAGTGGCCCAGCCAGAGCCCGGACTTCAACCCGATCGAACATCTCTGGAGAGACCTGAAAATAGCTGTGCAGCAACGCTCCCCAACCAACCTGACAGAGCTTGAGAGGATCTGCAGAGAAGAATGGGAGAAACTCCCCAAATACAGGTGTGCCAAGCTTGTAGCGTCATACCCAAGAAGACTTGAGGATGTAATCACTGCCAAAGGTGCTTCAACAAAGTACTGAGTAAAGGGTCTGAATACTTATGTAAATGTGATATTTTTGCTCTGTCATTATGGGGTATTGTGTGTAACTAACAATTTAAATCAATTTTAAAATAAGGCTGTAATGTAGCAAAATGTGGAAAAAGTCAAGGGTCTGAATACTTTCCAAATGCACTGTATGTGTGCATTGTCAGTGGACCTCAGTGAATCACTATGTGGCAGTTCCCTCTGCTGGGGATCCACAGTACTGACTTAATAAATTGATCCAGTGATAAAGAGAGAATCTGAAAAATAGGATGCATTTATAGGCCTTCAATTAAAGACCCTTCTATACCTTAATATGATTTCAATGTTTATAGACATGTATCAAAGTTAAACAGAAATCAGCATCCTCTTGGTACTAAAGAATCATGGATCCAGACAAGCCAAAACACTAGTGGAGAGACATCAGTTCTCTTACTCACCTACTTTCTTTGGAACCCAGTCCACCCCAAATGTGAATTTCTTTATTTGCACCACCAGATACTCTGGGAAGGAGGCGAAACGGGAAGTCCTGGAAAGAGAGGGCTACAATTTAGAAAAATAACTTGAAAAATAAATATGGATCACTCATTTATACTATACAAAATTATAAAACGCAACATGCAACAATTTCAAAGATGTAACTGAGTTACAGTTCATATAAGGAAATCAGTCAATTGAAATAAATGTATTAGGCCCTAATCTATGGATTTCACATGACTGGGAATACATATGCATCTGTTGGTCGTAGAAACCTTTTTTTAAAAAGGTATCTGGTGTGACCACCATTTGCCTCATGCAGCGCGACACATCTCCTTCGCATAAAGTTGATCAGGCTGTTGATAGTGGCCTGTGCAATGTTGTCCCACTCCTCTTCAAAGTCTGTGCAAAGTTGCTGGATATTGGCGGGAACTGGAACACGCTGTCGTACACGTCGATCCAGAGGATCCCAAACATGCTCAATGGGTGACATGTCTGGTGAGTATGCAGGCCATGGAAGAACTGGGACATTTTCAGCTTCCAGGAATTGTGTACAGATCCTTGCAACATGGGGCCGTGCATTATCATGCTGAAACATGAGGTGATGGCGGCGGATGAATGGCACGACAATGGGCCTCAGGATCTCGTCACCGTATGTCTGTGCATTCAAATTGCCATCGATAAAATGCAATTGTGTTTGTTGTCCGTAGCTTATGCCTGCCCATACCATAACCCCACCTCCACCATGGGGCACTCTGTTCACAACGTTGACATCAGCAAACCACTCGCCTACACGACACCATACAAGTGGTCTGCTGTTGTGAAGCCAGTTGGACGTACTGCCAAATTCTCTAAAACGACGGCTTATGGTAAAGAAATTAACATGCAATTCTCTGGCAACAGCTCTGGTGGACATTCCTGCAGTCAGCGTGCCAATTGCACGCTCCCTCAAAACTTCAGACATCTGTGGCATTGTGTTGTGTGACAAAACTGCACATTTTAGAGTTACCTTTTATTGTCCCCAGCACAAGGTGCACCTGTGTAATGATCCTGCTGTTTAATCAGCTCTTGATATGCCACCTGTCAGGTGGATGGATTATCTTGGCAAAGGAGAAATGCTCACTAAAAGGGACTTAAACAAAGTTGTGCACAACATTTGAGAGGAATAAGCTTTTTGTGCATATGGAACATTTCTGGGATCTTTTATTTCAGCTCTTTAAACATGGGACCAACACTTTACATGTTGTGTTTATATTTTTGTTCAATATACACGATCAGCTTTACATTCATATTTGGTCATTTGTGTATGGGCATTAAAACTGTTAAATAGTCAATTTTCCCTATAGTTAATTCATCATGTAGCCTACCAACATTGTTTTTTCATCTTAGGGGGCTAGGCATATTATGGTGCAAAATAACTTGGGTGCAGGATCCAAAAAGTCAAGTCATGAAAGAAAGATAGATCCCCACACAGTGTTGAAACTGCGGGAGCATTCAACAATGTGGGGTGTCTATCTTTCTTTCTTCCAGGCCTTAGACCAGGACCTTGCTTACTTGACTCCAGTCGATTTGGCCTGCAGCTCTGAGCTCCAGAAGTCAGGGACGTTCTCTGGCTCCATGAAGGCCTGCAGGCACGCTGTGAAGGGGATCCGGGCCCTCACAGGCTCTGGAGGGGCCCTCATGTTCTCCTCTGCTTCGTTTCGCTTGGCCTCATACACTATCAGCTCCTCTGTCACACACACATCAAGCTATTTAACACAGAAAACATCCTCCTAAAATGCTGTTGCTGTTGTCATACTCTCAGATGATTGGGGTTTAGTGATTGTATATTGGACATTTGAAAGAACTTATTTTCCCAACAATTAGGTAATTCAGCCAAGTGTCACCATACACAGTATGCACGACTGATCATTTAAAAACACATGCAGCCTTGGGCATTTTAAAACGCAAACTCCCAACCCACTTTGGCATTCAGAGATATTGATCCTCCATGCCCTTTGAAGAGGAGGGCTGTGGGGGAGCCAGCAGCCCTGCTGGTTCTCATGGGGCTGGGCCAGCTGCCTATGGGATCTTACCTCTGTTGGATGCGGCCTCGATGGCAGCAGGGAGCTGCATGAGGTAGTCCACCTTCTGGGTGTAGCGCACCTTCTGCGTCTGGCAACACTGCACACGCTCCTCCACCAGGTAGCGGAACGCATCATTGGGGTTCTCCAAGCCCACACTGTTTCTCTAGAGGGAAGGACACACGGGAGGATGCTGAGAATATACCGAATACTTTTTTTCCTCTTCATCTATGCTATTGAATTGACCAGTTAAAAAAGTGTTTGGAAATGTAACTGTTCCCATCAATTAGAACATTGAGAATATTGTGACTTTCATTACTTGTATGCATGTTTGAACAGTAGCAATATGTATCAAATTATTTTTATATACACAGTACCAGTCAAAAGGTTGGACACACCTACTCATTCCACAAGTTTACAATTTTCTACATTGTAGAATAATAGTTAAGACATCAAAACTATGAAATAACACACATGGAATCTATTTTATATTTGAGATTCTTCAAATAGCCACCCATGGCAGCTTTGCACACTCTTGGCATTCTCTCAACTAGCTTCACGAGGTAGTCACCTGGAATGCATTTCAATTAACAGGTGTGCCTTGTTAAAAGTTAATTTGTGCAATTTATTTCCTTCTTAACGTGTTTGAGCCAATCAGTTGTGTTGTGACAAGGTAGGGGTGGTATACAGAAGATAGCCCTAATTGGTAAAAGACTAAGTGCATATTATGGCAAGAACAGCTCAAACAAGCAAAGAGAAACGACAGTCCATCATCACTTTAAGACATGAATGTCAGTCAATCAGGAACATTTCAAGAACTTTGAAAGTTTCTTCAAGTGCAGTCGCAAAAACCATCAAGCGCCATGATGAAACTAGCTCTCATGAGGACCGCCACAGGAAAGGAAGACCCAGAGTTACCTCTGCTGCAGAGATTTACTATGTGATTAAGGTCTGGAGCCTGGCTAGGCCAACTCCAGGACCTTAATGTGCTTCTTCTTGAGCCACTCCTTTGTTGCCTTGGCCAGGTGTTTTGGGTCATTGTCATGCTGGAATACCCATCCACGACCCATTTTCAATGCCCTGGCTGAGGGAAGGAGGTTCTCACCCAAGATTTGACGGTACATGGCCCCGTCCATCGTCCCTTTGATGCGGTGAAGTTGTCCTGTCCCCTTAGCAGAAAAACACCTCCAAAGCATAATGTTTCGAACTCCATGTTTGACGGTGGGGATGGTGTTCTTGGCGTCATAGGCAGCATTCCTCCTCCTCCAAACATGGTGAGTTGAGTTGATGCCAAAGAGCTCGATTTTGGTCTCATCTGACCACAACACTTTCACCCAGTTCTCCTCTGAATCATTCAGATGTTCATTGGCAAACTTCAGATGGGCCTGTATATGTGCTTTCTTGAGCAGGGGGACGTTGCGGGCACTGCAGGATTTCAGTCCTTCACGGCGTAGTGTGTTACCAATTGTTTTCTTGGTGACTATGGTCCCAGCTGCCTTGAGATCATTGACAAGATCCTCCCGTGTAGTTCTGGGCTGATTCCTCACCGTTCTCATGATCATTGTAACTCCACGAGGTGAGATCTTGCATGGAGCCCCAGGCCGAGGGAGATTGACAGTTATTTTGTGTTTCTTCCATTTGCGAATAATTGCACCAACTGTTGTCACCTTCTCACCAAGCTGCTTGGCGATGGTCTTGTAGCCCATTCCAGCCTTGTGTAGGTCTACAATCTTGTCCCTGACATCCTTGGAGAGCTCTTTGGTCTTGGCCATGGTGGAGAGTTTGGAATCTGATTGATTGATTGCTTCTGTGGACAGGTGTATTTTATACAGGTAACAAACTGAGATTAGGAGCACTCCCTTTAAGAGTGTGCTCCTAATCTCAGCTCGTTACCTGTATAAAAGACACCTGGGACCCAGAAATCTTTCTGATTGAGAGGGGGTCAAATACTTATTTCCCTCATTAAAATGCAAATCAATTTATAACATTTTTGACATGCGTTTTTCTGGATTTTCTTGTTGTTATTCTGTCTCTCACTGTTCAAATAAACCTACCATTAAAATTATAGACTGATCATTTATTTGTCTGTGGGCAAACATACAAAATCAGCAGGGGATCAAATACTTTTTTTCCCCTCACTGTGTGTGTGTGTGTGTGTGTGTGTGTGTGTGTGTGTGTGTGTGTACACACACACACACACATACATACACACACACTTCCGTTCAAAATGTTGTAAATGGCTATTGTAGCTGGAAACGGCTGAATTTTAATGGAATATCTACATAGGCGTACAGAGGCCCATTATCAGCAACCATCAGTCCTGTGTTCCAATGGCACGTTGTGTTTGCTAATCCAAGTTTATCATTTTAAAAAGGCTAATTGATCATTAGAAAACCATTTTGCAAATATGTTAGCACAGCTGAAAACTGTTGTGCTGATTAAAGAAGCAATAAAACTGGCCTTCTTGAGACTAGTTGAGTATCTGGAGCATCAGCAATTGTGGGTTCAATTACAGGCTCAAAATGGCCAGAAACAAAGAACTTTCTTCTGAAACTCGTCAGTCTATTCTTGTTCTGAGAAATGAAGGCTATTCCATGCGAGAAATTGCCAAGAAACTGAAGATCTCGTACAACGCTGTGTACTACTCCCTTCACAGAACAGCGCAAACTGGCTCTAACCAGAGTAGAAAGAGCAGGGGATCAAATACTTTTTTCCCCTCACTGTATATATCAACACACTGCTCAAAAAAATTAAGGGAACACTAAATTAACACATCCTAGATCTGAATGAATGAAATAATCTTATGAAATACTTTTTCCTTTACATAGTTGAATGTGCTGATAACAAAATCACACAAAAATTATCAATGGAAATCAAATTTATCAACCCATGGAGGTCTGGATTTGGAGTCACCCTCAAAATTAAAGTGGAAAACCACACTACAGGCTGATCCAACTTTGATGTAATGTCCTTAAAACAAGTCAAAATTAGGCTCAGTAGTGTGTGTGGTCTCCACGTGCCTGTATGACCTCCCTACAAGCCTGGGCATGCTCCTGATGAGGTGGCGGATGGTCTCCTGAGGGATCTCCTCCCAGACCTGGACTAAAGCATCCGCCAACTCCTGGACAGTCTGTGGTGCAATGTGGCGTTGGTGGATGGAGCGAGACATGATGTCCCAGATGTGCTCAATTGGATTCAGGTCTGGGGAACGGGCGGGCCAGTCCATAGCATCAATGCCTTCCTCTTGCAGGAACTGCTGACACACTCCAGCCACATGAGGTCTAGCATTGTCTTGCACAGTTTGATTTCACAGAAGTGTGATTGACTTGGAGTTACATTGTGTTGTTTAAGTGTTCCCTTTATTTTTTTGAGCAGTGTATATATCAATCACAAGAGGGACCATGCCAAGCTTCCTGTTTTCATGTGGTCAATTACACACAGTTAAAGCTTGACAAATGAAGTAGGACAGGTGGAAAACATGTACAACTCAAAGAGAAAGAGGTACGCAGTTGTTTATTGGGGGGTCATTGGGGACAAACTTGTTTGTTGTGATTATTTGAGGACTCATGGGGCAATGGGTCTTGAATTAAAACCATTTGGCTTGTATGGAGTGTCACATCAGCAGCTTTTCTATTCTAAGAGGCTACAGAAATACTCCGGTTATAGCTCTACTCCAAACACCAGTGAAGTATTCTAACCGGCCGGCTGGCAGGCAGGCCCGAGGCTAAACTTGCTGATTGAAGGCTACTGTAAGAGTCTGCCTATCTCTGTCCAACCAACTCAGGACAGCTGAATATGCCCACAAATTATACACAATTACCATTCATGGTAAAAATATAGGGCCCCATTTAAATTAGAAAAGGTATTCTGAAGCAAAGAGAAAACTGTTGATTTTTAACTAATATTAACATGAAGTTGACTTGTTAGCTCCTGTATTACATTTTACTTGACCTTACTGCTCCATGTAAAAATGTTTTTATATATTCAGAACACTGCCACAAATTACTTACAGTATGTTGAAAAACATTGACAATAGATAAATCAGCCATGCAACGGAGTCTAGTAAACTGATTTTGGATAGATTGTTTTGTCAAGGGCAAGAGCAGAGAAAGTGGCGGGTTTCCAGTCTGAGCATGTTTCTGTGTTGACTTCAGGCAGAATAGGAAGCATTATCTGGCCTGTGTAACTGATAGGGGCGGTCTAAATTTAACCCGGTTGAGAAAGTCACTTCAGAGCGCAAGTGTGTGTCTGCCGGCCTGGGGACAGGGTGCTGCGTTTCGTCAAATACAGTCCCACCTCCTCTCTCCCAAGGTCCCCTGATTGACCACGTGTGACGAGTCAGAGGTGCATTGACATGCCGGAAAAATGCTTTACAATAGCCATTTCACGAAAGCTATTTTTTCTTCTTTTATTATGGCCATCATTGAAGCTGAAAAGCCAGTGCCGATAGATACAGTTTAGGCTTATGAGCCTTTTGTTGAACACCAGTGACTTTGTTTGCCAATTGCTGTACCTCTGCAACAATGGCATACTGTATTCATCACTACGTGCCTTTTAGAGTAGTTTTCATCATTACAAGTACACCATAACACGCTCCTACTAATAGAAAATACATATGAAGCCATACATGCATACCTCCACCAGGTTGATGAGATGCAGGAAAAACTTGTGTGCATCTTGCTGTCTGTTGGAGGAGAACTCAGGGTGGCCATTGCTAACCAGGGCTTTGAACATCTTGGGAGAGATGCCCTTTGGCTGGTGCTGGAATGAGAACAAGGTGTCACACACACGGTGTATGATTTGTCGCCTGTCTAAGGGGCAGCAAGACAAGACAAGACAAACCAAAACCATTGAAATGTGATTGGTGGTACTTCAGGAAAAATAAATATTCTGCTAATAAACATTCTGAATATCATGAGACCAATTTCCAACTTGAGAGGCGATTTGAGCTACTCAAGTTAGGATTTGTCTCTACTTGAAAAGGGTAATAAAAAGGTAACAAAACCAAGGAGAAACAAGTACAACTTGTTATTTTTCTGTTATGAGAGCAGTGACAACGGTGCAATGTCTAATCTGTGCTGTACCTACACCATCTGATACAGGCCTCCAGGCATAATGTATAATGAGACACTGGGACCAATGAAGCGCCCAAAACAAACAAGCATGCTGGCAATTATCCTTGAGATCCTTTCCCCACAAAAACAAGCAGTCAATCTGCAGGCAATCATGAGGGTCTTTATTGGCTGTGTGAGATTAAATCATAAATCTCACAACAGCAGGTGCTGTAGTGTAGAGTCCCTGTATGTCAGTAATCTGTATACTAAATACTTGAGGATTCAGGGCTGTATTGTACAGATTGGATTAGCAACAATTCACACTGCTCGTGCAAGACAAGTTGATATGCAGCAGCTAGTTATCTAGGCAGTGAAAAATGCCAAAATGGCTCATTTGTTAAATGAGAGCATATTTAAGAATTTACAACACTTCATAACACAATTGGGTTGTTATTGCAGAATACAAGGACCATCTAAGAAGAGATAATCTCAAACATTATCTACAGTTTATACTATAAACTGCAACCACAATTTTCATGTTAATGGAAGTAGTTCTTCCGCAGAGTTACAGATGACGGATCTTAACTTGATCATCAGGAAAATTCAAATGAGCCTTGTGATTCCTTGAAAATGTGCAGTTCTCCTTCTCTCCATGCGGCGGCAGTCGAGTCAATGGGATCAGGCCTGCTATCAAAATAATATTATCCCTCACTCACTGAAACGCTAGGCTCTATTACTGCAACATTAAAATGTACAAAAATGTCTCTGAAATGCAGCCATACACATTAACAATCATTGTTTTATATAGCTTAATAACAAAAGATCGATATCGGTCTCCACTAGGCTTCGACATACAAGTGTGAAGTGTATCGTAAGGTTACAAATGAACTGTCAAAATGTAGTTCAATCGTGGCTTGGGCTGGGGTGGTCTAGCGGTTAGGGCCGCTGCCTTCAGGGCACACATATAAGCCTACCGTGCCGGCATGGATTTGATTCCGGCCCACGTCCTTCTGGCACAAATAAGTCAATCCCCCCTTTTGACTTGATTTAGTTACACATTTCAAATATGGACAGTCCAGGGATACTTCACCCCCGATCTTGATAAGAAATGACCATACCAGACACTATTGGATAACATAAATAGGAAACAAATAAAATAACAGTACGAAGTGTCCGGTAAATTGCCACAGTAGATTTGCTGTGGTAAAATGAGGAAATATATTTATTTCTATTGTACGGAATGCTTGTCAAATAGAGAAATCACCCGTAGTCTATTAAAAAATATTGAAGTTGTTCCAATGACGATACCAACCAAAGGGCGAACAAATCTTGAAAGACTTTGGTTGCAACCATGATTAAGGCAGAGAGGAAATGGGAAGCGAGAGGGCTCTCTCTCTCTCTGTCCAGAATAAGGCAAATGTGTTTCTATGGGCTTCATATGCAGACCTAAGCTTGCTGCCTACCGTCCTGCCTTTGGGACAACAATTCCCTGGCTGAGTTGATGAGCTGATTTGGGCCATCATTTGATTTGACAGATGTAGGCCTACTGTAGAACGATAAACTTTCCTCCAGTGTGTATGCTCGCCCACTTTTTATAGTTAGGCCATGTATAATTTGCAGAGGTGGGCAGAGTACTGAAAATCTGTACTTACAGATGTAATTTACTCAAGTAAAAGTGGCCCTATTAAGAAACTAACTCAAGTAAGAGTAAAAAAAAACACATCCGGTCAGAAAACTACTTAAGTACTAGTTACAAATTTCATTTGGTATTTTTTTTTACACCTTAGGGTAAAGCAAACAAAAATGAGAACAACTTAGAACAATTGATTTGACATTATTTAAGCCTGCCAGCACCATCTTGCAGATGTCCTCCAGCACAGGGGTGTAATCATTACGGCGATTCTGTTGCAAAATGTTTTGCAACAGAAACCGTTCATGCCAAACGCAAACATTTTATTCAAAGTTCACTTCATATCTAGCAATGTGCTCAATTTAATGAAAAGGTAAAATGGTACGAAACATTGGACTAATTGTACAATTCCAATAGCATTCATTAAAATGTCTCACAATATAATTTCAAGTACATGTGATGGTGAATGCTTACTAAACAGATTTACACAAAGTGTGATGTTTTCAAGTAGGATCAGGTAAGTGTTACAACAGTCAAATAATCAATATCGAAATGTCACTATCAATCATGTTCCTAGTATGCAAATCAGACATTTCAGCACGGAATTAAACATCAAGGTAGGTATTCAGGTAAGAAATAATTTAAGTAATAAATAATCAAACAGTGCAGATATCAATTGCAACAGAACTCATAAAATCTGCTTTTTCTTGCCAGGGTAGGATTTACCCTCCATCCTCCTTCTCTTCCGAACCTCTCCTTTCCACTTTGAAGGGTATTTTCTTTTCTTGGCTGACCCATTCTCCTCCCCCTCGGTTGTGCCGCTACAATCTGTAAATATTTTTATTTTATTTCTAGTACATGGCAAAAAGCTTACTGAGATGATACACTGACTCTGACAGATGTGCTTATAGGCTTAGTCATAAAAACAGAATGACATTTAGACATACACACAGAGAGAATGAGATTGCCTGGAAACCCAACGAATTAGGAAAGTGATATTTTAACGTACTTTACCGGTTGTCCATGCGGTTGGTCCTTTTGGCAGTAGGAATGTGAGACAATATCCACAGGATATATCCACAGGATTTTCAAAGTGCTGGTAGTGCGTTCAGATTTCTATTACCCAAAGCATGTGCAGAACCATATATACACGCGCACGAGCTCGGCAAGAATACATGCGTCTCGTGCATGTATTTTTATCTTGTGCGCATGCTTCAGTGATAGAAATCTGAACGCACTACCAGCGCTTTGGAAAGTTTAATTAAAACTTTCCTGTAGATACAGTGCATTCAGAAAGTATTCAGACCCCTTTACTTTTTCCACATTGTTACGTTACAGCCTTATTCTGAAATGGATTAAACCATTTTTTTCCCTCAATCTACAAACAATACCCCATCATAACGACAAAGCAAAAACAGGTTTTTAGAATTCTTTGCAAAATCATTACAAATAAAAAACAGAAATATCACATTTACATAAGTATTCAGACCCTTTACTCAGTACTTTGTTGAAGCACCTTTGGCAGCGATTACAGACTCGAGTCTTCTTGGGTATGATGCTACAAGCTTGGCACACCTGTATTTGGGAGTTTCTCACATTCTTCTCTGCAGGTCCTCTCAAGCTCTGTCAGGTTGGATGGGGAGCGTTGCAGCACAGCTATTTTCAGGTCTCTCCAAAGATGTTCGATCGCGTTGAAGTCCGGGCTCTAGCTGGGCCACTGAAGGACATTCAGAGACTTGTCCCGAAGCTACTCCTGCATTGTCTTGGCTGTGTACTTAGGGTCGTTGTCCTGTTGGAAGGTGAATCTTCACCCCAGTTTGAGGTCCTGAGCGCTCTGGAGCAGGTTTTCATCAAGAATCGCTGTACTTTGCTCCGTTCATCTTTCCCTCAATGCTGACTAGTCTCCCAGTCCCTGCCGCTGAAAAACATCCCCACAGCATGATGCTGCCACCACCATGCTTCACCATAGGGATGATGCCAGGTTTCCTCTAGATGTGACGCTTGGCATTCAGGCCAAAGAGTTTGGTTTCATCAGACTAGAGAATCTTGTTTCTCATGGTCTGAGAGTCCTTTAGGTGCGTTTTGGCAAACTCCAAGCGGGCTGTCATGTGCCTTTTACTGGAGGAGTGGTTTCCGTTTGGCCACTCTACCATAAAGGCCTGATTGGTGGAGTGCTGCAAAGATGGTTGTCCTTCTGGAAGATTCTCCCATCTCCACAGAGGAACTCTGAAGCTCTTTCAGAGTGACCATCAGGTTCTTGGTTACCTCCCTGACCAAGGCCCTTCTCCCCCGATTGCTCAGTTTGGCTGGGCGGCCAGCTCTAGGAAGAGTCTTGGTGGTTCCAAACTTCTTCCATTTAAGAATGACGGAGGCCACTGTGTTCTTGGGGACCTTCAATGTTGCAGACATACCCTTCCCCAGATTTGTGCCTCGACACAATCCTGTCTTGGAGCTCTACAGACAATTCCTTCGACCTCATGGCATGGTTTTTGCTCTGACATGCACTGTCAACTGTGGGACCTTATATAGACAGGTGTGTGCCTTTCCAAATCATGTCTAATCAATTGAATTTACGACAGGTGGACTCCAATCAAATTGTAGAAACATCTCAAGAATGATCAATGGAAACAGGATGCACCTGATTGCAATTTCTAGTATCATAGCAAAGGGTCTGAATACTTATGTAAATTAGATATTTCAGTTAATTGTCTAAAAACCTGTTTTCGCTTTGTCATTGTGCATAGATTAAATTACGTTTTTTCCTCATCAATCAATTTTACATTCAAAGGATGTAACGTAGCAAAATGTGGAAAAAGGGAAGGGGTCTGAATACATTCTGAATGCACTGTCTCACATTCCTACCTCAAAAGGACCAACCGCATGGACAACCGGTAAAGTACGTAGAAATATCATTTTATTCAACATTCTGGCTTGTAGAGGTCGTGAGAGGAAACTTTCCTGATTCAAACGCTCATTACTGCCCAACGTAGAATTCAATTAAATTCAACGTCGGGTTTCCAGGCAAAGAGTGAGAGAGCAATGAGTGGGAGTATGCTGCGCTGGACTGACCGGTTGATATAGCTAACGTTAGCTAGCTACATGGTTGACACTGCAGCTAGCTAG